CATTTATTATTAATATTTTCTCCTTTTGTTTCCTTATTTTAGTTTAATTGGAAGCATTTCGTTTAAAATTTAAGTCAATTTTTTCCACAAAAATTCGCCATCATTTTTTATTCTGACATTTTACCTTTTTTATTGGTATAATATGTATAATAAAAATTTTTGAAATAAAGTTTCAATTCGAATATAATGATTGAACCGAAATTTGTTTATTAGCATTGTTTTTAAATTTAAATGAAATTTGTACTTAAAATTTGCCTATTACAACTATTAATTTTAAGCTGATTTAATTTAAAAAAAAACTGGAAATGAAGCTTATTTAAACTATGGCTAATTTCAATTTAATTAAAATTCGAATGAAATTTGCTTGTCGACTCAATATCTAGTATTTGAAATGTGATTTGTAATTTGATTCAGATTTAAATCAACCTTAATGATAGAAATGAAATTCATTTTTATTATTATTTTAAAGTACAGTTGGTAAAGAAAAAAAGAGGATGGGAATAAGAAAAAAAGAAAAATAAAAAATAAAGTGAAGAAGGAAAAGATGATGATGGAAGAGGTGAAGATGAGAAAGGGGAAAAGAAGAGAAGAAGAGAAGAAAACAAAAGTTCGATTGAAGATGCAAGAAAAAATTGAAAAAAAAATTTTAGTTAACTTCCAGTTTTGTTTGGCTAAAATGATAATGTTTTTATGTTCTCTTTTCTTTCTCTTCTTTTTTTTTTTTTTTTGTCTTTTCAGCTATTCTCTCATTTGATTAACTTTATCTCTCATTTCTTCTTTCTCTTTTTTTTTCATCATAAAAGTATCGTTTCTCTTTTTTTTAAAATTTCCTTAAATACTTTTCTTTGCTTTTCCCCTAATATTTCCTTTTCATTTTATTTCTCTTTTCAAATTTTGTTTTTTTTTTTTAATCCTAAATCTAATTCAGTAAAGTTTGTTATTTTATTTTGTTTTTTCTCTCTCCCTCTCTCTCTCTCTCTCTTCTTTCTCCGTTAAGTATTCAATGAACAAAGTGTTGGTGCAAAAGAACGAAGGTTTCCGGTTGAAATGTATAGTGGACAACCATTTTGTTACTGTTATCATTTATAAATATGAAAAGTTCTTTTCACTTTTTGAAAATCTTTCTTTAAGCTTTTTAACTTTTTTCAACTTTTCTTAGTTTTATCATAATTTTATCACAGCTTTATCACTCAGATTATATATCTACTGGATGATAACTGGGCAATTCTTTGATTTGTTCTTTATTTTTCGTTTATTTTATTTTTTATTTAATATTTTTCTTATTCTATGTAATAATAGTATTCAAATATTGATAATTATTTATTTATTATATTATCACTTTATTTGTTCTTATTTATTATTCCGTAATTATTCTATATTTGCATGAATTGTAACAAACTGGTTTTGTTGATTTTTCAAATTCAATTCTTTTTTTTTTTTTTTTTTTTTTTTTTTTTAAAGCTGCATTCAATAAATTAAGATTAATTCATACCTATTAACAACGATTGATGAGTGACATTTGCGCGCTTATTTAATATTGTTTTTATTCTTGTTTAATTGCGCAATTTAATTCTGTATTTGAGTAATATTATAACAAATTGATTTTCTTCGATTTTTTTACATCCAATCTTCTTCATCGAACTTAAATATATCAAATATATCTGATTTACTTATATTTTTTTGCTAATGGTTGCTTCTTTATTTTTCATTCAAATTTGTTCCTAACATTTGTTTTTATATTATAATCAAGTATTTCACTGCGTTTATTTTATTATCCTTTTTAATTATTTAATTTAGGTTGTATTTAAGTAATGATATACTTGAATAGCTTCATTTAGTTTGTTTATCAATAATTTACTTTTGTTGCACATTTTACAAAATGATTATCGCTTAAATAACTTCAATTTAGATTCGGATTTAAATTCATGATTAAGGAAAATGACTAAAGATCACTTTCTGAAGTAAAATGCAAGAGAAAAAGGGTACTAGGGCTTTTCCAAGTATCATATTAATAGCTACTCATTTACACAAAAAATAGTTTTTTCAAATTATTCAAGTGTATTTTATTGAAATATTTAAAGCTATTTTTGATTTTAATCTTATTAATTAAATTTTTGTTCGAAAATTTTATTTCCTTTTTCATCATTGCTAATTATTAATTGAAGTGTATTAATCGATTAAATTTTCAACAACTTTTCTTATAATTATTAATTATCACATTGCATCATTGACACTTTAAATATCATTCAAAAATTTCACTAATTGTGTCAATCATTCAATGTATTATTTTCTTGTTTTCCAAACAAATTTTTTTCATATAACTTTTTTTTTAAATTCATGTTGCATTTTTAATTTGTGACTATGCTATAGGAAATAATTTCAATTATTATTATTTACTTTAGATGAACAATGCCATCAATTTTTTAATGTACACATATTATTACTTTTTGCTTTAATTTTACCATTCCAATTATCACTTATCATTGATTAGATCAAAATGGCTATTCATTAATTAATTAAATCAACCATCCATTAAATGATTAAATCCAAAATTATCATTCATTAAATAATTCGTTTGGAGAGAAATTATTTGCAATAATTCTTAAAGAGGGAAAGAGAAAAAAGCAAAGCAATTTTAACAGAAACAGCACAGTTAATAAGTTGCTTTAATTTTTTTCTTCTCCTATTCCCTTCTGCTGCAACTAAAATAAAGCTTTAATTTTTTTCTGTTAACTTTTAATTGCCTTACAAAAAGGTTCTAATAATCAGAGACCACCCTGTACCATTATTATCTTTCCATCTATATATCTCACTTTTGAAGTGTCAGTTGTAACTTTGCATTATATATTTTTTTCTTCCATATTTTAAACAATTCATTTCATTAATCAAAATTATCAATTTTTTAATTTATGCGTAACATATCAAATTTTGGAAATTATCATTCTAATTAAATAAAATTACCATGTTGAAAAATTATCACAGATTCACTGGTTTTATTTATTTATTTTTTTCTTTTAACATTGTTTTATTCTTTTTTATTTTTTTTTTTGTTTTACAAGCAGATTTACTTTGGTAACATTCATTATATTAACTGATATTATTGCATCAACTATTATAATCAATATTATTAGATAATTACTTAATAATCGTGAATACTTTACTACTTTTTCCTTGCGAAATAAAAAATATAAATAAATGCAACTCCCTTCAATTCATTTAATTATATCAAATTTGTTGAGACAAATTTGTATTAACTGTAATAGATTTTAAAATTTATCGTAGGATCATTATCAGTTGCACTTAATCATTATCAGCTAGCAGCCATTTATTTCATCTTTTCAATTGAAACATTTGAAAATAAGAAATTTACCATAGCTTAAGAAAACGGACAAACACTTTCGCTTTGATCGTAGTGAAATTTTTGAATGAAAAAAGAAAAAATCTCTCATTTTTACATAAAATTAGTTGTTTATCAACTTAAAACAAAAGCTTATTATCATACAAGCAATTAAACAAAATCTGACACTATTTTAGAATGAAATGTTAACTTTATCTTATGTGTGTCTAGAAGGATTTTACATAATCCCTTAGGATTTATTACTGCTTGGCTTTTTTTCCCCAAAAATTTTGTTTAGCAGAAAACTGGTCTAGAAATGCGACGCCCATTAATTCAAATGTATAAAATTTATACCAGTAGAAAAAGCTTTCTTTATTATCAAATTTTGCTAATTTTTTCTCTTAAAAAACAAAAAGTTAGAATTGAAATGATCTCTCAAGAGAAACAAAACACAAATAAGATTAAAAAAAGACTTAAAAATTTTGATTTTTTTACAATCTATAGCAAACTAATTTTATCCTATTTGCTCTCTGATTTGATTTAAATTTCAAAGTATATCTTTCAGATGTATACTTTACATTATGCTTAATATTTCATTCATTCGTTTATTTATTATTATTATTATTGTTATAGTCATGATTACTATTAATACTATTAATATTACTATTATTAGTATTATCACCACCGTTATTATAACTATTTTCTGATTCTCAAAATAAATCAGAGCTAAACTATCTGATTCAATCTACAATTACTAGTTTTTATTATTAATTAATAAAATTAAAATCTGTTCTTTTAAGATTTTCTTTTTCATTTCTTTATTATTTCTATTATTTTCATTATTCTTTTTTTTTCTATATATCGCAGTTTTTTTTTTTTTATCAAATGAATTTTCTTTCAAAGAAAAAGCAAAAAAATAAACTTATGCATTTGTGCTTTTTCAGCTTGCAAGAATTTACAGCAAGAAGCTACTATTTAAATACGACGTGAAGTGTGGTGTAAATTAAACTGAAATTTAATTTTCATTCTGGCTTCAACACAACAGCTTCAACATATAATACAAAATTACTATTATTCATTTATTGCTACGATTATATCTGATAATCGATCAATAATTATAATAATTAAGCTATTATTGGTGATAATAAGAAGAACAATAAATAAACGGAAAGATTTACAATTGCAATTATTATTGCTGTTGCAATATTACATTCGAAAAAAGCAAAATTTAATTCCATAACGAGAAAAAAAAGACCAAAAAACTTTGTGAAATTATTAGTAATTTTTGGCGAATTGTAAACTTGAAGAATTCATTACTTCATTGGGGGCCGTAAGGCCCACTTCAAGAATATTTATTATTACTAGCATTTTTGCTAAACAGATAACAATTTATATTATTAATACACACTTAGTGTTATTACTGCTATTATTATCACTATTACTGTTATCATTATTGCTACTATTGATAATATTGCAATTTTTACTAAGAACATTATTAAGAATATCTTGCAATTGCTTTCAATTCGTTATCTGTTAGAAAGGAAAGCTAAATTTTACTGGCATAATAATAATTTGAGAAAAATTTACATAATAGATATTTTTGTGATATTATATTTAAAATTTAACAAAACGGAACAAGCAGTATCATTGGCTTACTGCCATTTTATTTTAATCCTGTCCACCCTGTTAACCGAGATAACATTACTCGGATTACCTCTGAGTCATCAACATCAACAACAACAGCAGCAACATTACTATTCCAATTATCAACATCAGTACAACCAGCATCATCGTCATCATACTCAACATAATCATCATCATAATCGTAATAATCATTATCATCAAGCATTTTCGCTTCTATCGCATTCCGCAGCAACTACCGGCCAAGACGACGCCCGTTACGAAACTGGATCGGATAGTGACAATTCCGGTAAGCTTTATCACTTTTTATTTTTGCTTAATATGTACGCTGCTAACTAAACAAACAATAAAATCATATAAAAACTTTATAAGTTTCGCCATCTTTCATGTTTTCACGTCCAATAACTTCACAATAGTTACTGTTACTTTATGTAATTGTTATAATTTATTCACATCATATTGGATAGAAATAAGTAACAAAACCTTGGAGTAATTAATCGATTATTCAATTCAGTTATATGAATTTTAAATATTCCTTTTAATTTCTGCTGTTATTTTCAGACTTTCTATAGAAGATATGAATATTGTTATTATTAGATTGGTGTCAAATAGTCATTATAATTCACATTGCCTAGTTATTTAGCTTTTCTTATATTCATTTCTACCCTTTCACTTTTCATTAAACAATTGCACTAATTTATTAGTGAGCGATTTGAATTTGTTTAAAAGCTAACTTTATTAACTTATTCCGTCTAATTAGTGCATATTTGTTGCCCTGATTTCATTGTATTGTAGGAAGAATAACAAATTCCTTGAAGGCTTGCCATATTAATTAATTTATGATTTAATTCTTTGACTTAATTAGAGATTTATCTTAATTAGCTTATGATTCACAAAATTATTCAATTTTAGGTCTTTATTTTTTATCGGCGGTCACAGGCAATAACTGGTGGTCAGGTGATTTGTTTTCGCCATCGATGAATGGTGTAGCAACAACTGGTGGTGCATCTACGCCTTTTCCTCCTGCTTCATCAAATTTTCAACTTTTCGGCGCTTCTTCTTCATCAGCTGCTGCTGCTCCTGCTGCATCTTCATCTCTAACGTTGAATTTGTTACCGTCAAGTGATTACATTACGTCAAGTTTATTAGCTAATTGTGCTCGACAAGTTCAACAACTTAGGTACACCAGGCATACTCGACGATTCTCACCTCGGTAACTTTTAGATTTTATTATATATGATATTCCTCAACTTCAAATTATAAGTAAATACAAACAAACTTATATTTAAAATATGTCATTCTGTATGAACTTAGTTATTAATTCGGTTAAAATATTTTAATAATTATTTTGATCAGATGGATTGATTAATTACAAGTTTTTTTACAAGTCATACAACTATGTCTTAAATCCAAATACTGGTCATTTTAAATTAAATTGTGTGAGACAACCAAATTGATAATTTTAATTTTATATTTATCAATTTTTCATTTTCATGTACTTTCCTCATCGTTTGTCTGCTCCCTGCCATTTACCTTTCTCTCTATCTTCCTTCCTTTTTTTTAATAAAAAAAGAAATGAATAATAGTTACCTGTAAGGTAAAGCCATCTAGTATCCTTGTATATGTATGTGCATGTACTTTCTGAAAAAAAATTTTGCCAAATAATTTTAATTACTTTTTTAATATCTAAAATTGTTGTGAACAGGAAAATTTATGATTTTTTTCTTTTTGTTGTTGTATTGAAAAATGCATAAACGCATTGATTAGTAGTGATGATAAATGATTTATGGGCAGTAATTGAGTTAGAATTGTAATTTATAAAAATTTATAATTTTAATTTATATTGCATAAAGTTGAATAATATGGAGAAGAAAAATTCATTTGATAAGTTAATTGTTTATATTATTCAATAATATGAATAACTTATTTCTTCTATTATTTCCTATTAATTAATCAGGAAATTTCATAAATTCAAAAAATGAAAAATTTCAGTCATGATGGACCTAATCGAGAGGGAGCTCTTTTTTGTCGTTCTGGTACATGGGTGGAAATTTTGGATAAACGTACAGCTGAATATGAAGCTAAAACGAATGACTTATCAAGACCAGAATACGTACGTGGTACACGCTTAGAAAATAGTCGATTCAGTATGTTTTTTTTTTCTCAAAATATTCTTTAATGATTCTAAAATGCAAAATAAAAAAAAAAAAAAAAAAAAAAGAAATTATTAAATCACTGAAATAATTCGTGAAATGTTAGCAATAATGATATTCTGTCACAGATTATGTACTACTAACAGATTATTTTCATTACGTCAATGATTTTTACTTTATAGTTGGTTACTTTCATAATATAATTACATTTGTAAGAATTCAATTTAATTCTTTAAAAAATCGATCATACTGAGAAAAATTTTTATCATTTCATGATTAAAAAGAAAGTATATGGATTATATATTTTCTTAATTGTTCTGATAAAACTAAAATTTGCATCGATATCTTTACCAAATTTTGACCAAAAAGAATTTTTTTAATTTTGTTACTGCTTTCTTTTGATTTTTCTTTTTGTTTTTGTCCTTTTTTTCTCGTGTTTACTATTTAAACTTTTCCTTCTCTTCTATAACGATTTTATTATGTCTAATTTACATTGTGTTTAAAATTTACGATAAGTGAAGCATAGTTAGAATTACTGGTATTCCAAATATTTAAATGATTATCATTTTTTTTTTTATTCTGTTATGTTTTGTACCACATTTCAATATATAATATAATTTGAAATTATTAATCGAATCGTTTTAAAGTATTTCTGATTGTATTTTGTTTCTTATTTCACTTTTTTGTTAAATATTTCGTTTTTTCATCTTTTTTCCTTTTTTTATCCTCAGAATATTTCATATTATGTGCAATTTTCTTTATTTACCTTTATCGTCTTTAAAGGTATATTGGAATTTATATCGGTTGCATTTGGTTTAGTAAGTATACGTGGACGTGAATCACAACGTTATTTATGTATGGATCGTGAAGGTCGCTTATATGCTGCGGTTTGTTTCTTGAATTAAATTACAATATAATCGTTTGATTATATAATAATATGTTGTATATTGTAGTAATATTAATTTGTACTTTTTTTTTTTAATTTCAGATGAGTAGAAAATGTTGCAATTTTATTAATAAGAAAAGTGAATTAATGAATTTTTATTTATTTAACGAATGATTTAAAGTCAATTTTCTTTTATTGGAATTAAAAAAAAAAAAAAAAAAAAAGAATGTTTTATCTTTTCTTTTTATTTCAAAGATTTTACGATAAGTTATTAATTATATGACTAAAATTTTTTAAATTAATATTTATACATATACTTTTTAGGAGAATTTTATTATTTCTTTTAGTTACAAAAAAATTATTCAATGGAATGTGTTTTTATGGAGGAAATGCTTGAGAATTATTATAATTTATATTCCTCCTGTGCATATGGTACACCTAAGAAACCGTGGTATATTTCGTTACGTAAGACCGGTCGACCACGTAAAGGTAATATCATCATTACTGTTATCATTGCTATCAATTTTTTTCCTTTCCTTATGATTTCGTTTTTTCTTCTTTTCTAAAATTTCATTTTTTTTCTTGCCTAAAAGAATTGATATACATGTATATTATGTGTGTTTTACATTAAAATTTTTCCAATAAATTAAAAAATTCTAATTTATAATTGATAGAAGTAAATGCAAAAATAAAAAAAATTTACGTCGTAAAGAAATTTATTCGACCCTTTTCCTAATTCTGGAATCTTCTTTTGATCTAATTTCATATTGTTCTCGTAAAAAATGATATGAAAAATAAATATTGTGTCACTATTCTTATTATTATTTATTATTATTAATTATTATTATTGTTTATTATCATTTATTATTCTTAGCATTATTATTATTGTTAGTATTACTATTATCATTATTATTATTATTATTATTATTATTATTATTATTATTATTGTCATCACTATTACTGCCACTATTATTGCTATTCAGGAAACGACATCTATACACAAAATGGTATGAATTGCTAAGATCGTGCAAGCTTTAATGATGCCTGTAGCATGTTCGCTGCTTGCCCTTTAATTTCAAATTTTGGCACTACAATTTTAGCAACTGCTGACTTTATAAGAAAAATGAGCATTAGCTTTAAATGCCTTCAAATGTCACGCATGAACCCTTTTGCTAAAACTGCTGTTAGCTTGATCTGCTATGATTATCACCATTTTATCACCTCTATCACTGTACGGATCGTTACATTTTTGCATTATTGTTTCACTGTTAATGCGCTATAAAATCGTTGTGATAACAATGCAAATTGCAATGCGATCATTGTTTCAACTTAGTATATTGCATTAAACCTATCCTAGTCACCTTTCTTATCAAATATTTCGATAGTTTCAGATTGAACTACTCGAAATTAAATTAGACTGAAACATTCATGAAGCATTTTCAAAATTAAGCTGGAAAAATTAGAAATAAAATGCTTGAAAAATGAAAAATATGAAAAAGAAAGAAAATGTATTATTATTCCAGAACTTTTGTTCAATTTGAATTTGAATGTTGCTTTTGAATTCGAATGATTTAAATCTCAATTAAAACTATAATTTTTATGAAAACTCGGTTGTGTTCCATCTTAGCGAATGTATAATTCATATCCTTTTGTCTACGATTTAAATTTTATTTATTTATTTGCTCTTTTTTTAAAAGAAGCATTAAAATTTTCATTTCTATACGTGTGGGTTCAATGAATACCGTTTCATTTACAGGTAAATATTCTCGTAAACGTCGAAAATCATCACATTTTCTTGTTGTACACTTTGATGATGATCAAGATAATAGTGATTCTGGTGGCTATTCGTATTCCGGTGATGGTGATTCCATTCATTTTTCTAAAACACAAATTGTTCAACCCAATCGTTATGGTGAACTAAATTTCCTTTTTCCATCTCTCATTGTTAGACAAATTTTATATGATCATTCTTAATTAGCTAAGAAATAAATGTATTAGTGGTTTTGCACTTAGTTATAACATTAATTATTATATCTATTAAGCCAAAATTAATTTTACCATCAAAAAAAAGAAAAGCTTTTAAAAGGATATCAATAAATATTATCAGTAACAAATGATATCATGTTATTGTTCATTCTACTAATATGTTCCCCTGATAAAATATAAATTATATTTTATAGATTATCTAACACATTATACTTCTGATGATGATAAACCACCGCCTCCAAAAAGTTTGGATGATATTTTACCGGGTACACTGCAACAGCACCCTCCTAAGATGTCGCTTACTAGGCAATATTCACCAATTGAAATGGCACGATGGATTTTAGCTCAGCGACGTACAAATGATGGTAATCGTAAAATGTCACGTGAAGAACGAAATGATATTCGAAGGTATTTAATTAATCAATATTGCAGCAATAAAAAATAATCAATATTTTCTAATTTTCATTATTGATTGATTTCATTTTTCCGTAATCTTATCATCATTATCAATTTAATGATAGGAGAAGACGAAGGAAAAGTCGTTTGGAGCGGGAGGAGAGGCAGCGACAGCGACGACGACAAGAACTCGAATTAAAACGTGCTAACGCGTACAAGGAGCAGTTATGGCAAAATAGGCAACAGTAGTGAAGAAGAAGGAGAAGGAGAGATGATCGTTAAATTTATGGTATTTCTCAGACGAACAAAAAAGCTAAAAGGGAGAAATGTTGGTAACATTTGGGGAGAAAATTGTCGCTTAGCGACAACAAGGCTAAATGAATATAAGGCGCAAAGTACAACGTTACGGCTATTATTATCATTATTATCACTATTAATATTTTTATCAGGTGCTTGCTTTTTCTTTCTCTCCTAAATTAATAATGAATATAAAAATTTTCAATGAAGTAATACTAAAGGACGGAGTATTGATTTCCTTCTTTTTTGCAGTCAAATATTTTAGGATTGTTTGATTTATTGTTACTTCTTTAAAAGAAGTTTTTCGCTAAATTTAAGGAAAAATAATTTCATTAAATCGATTTAATCTAATAAAATAAAAATTAGAGTGGTAAATCATTTGTTATTTCAATGTTTTCCGCTATTTTTTGTATTGTAATATTGACCGAATATTTATTTCTTTCAGAAAGAAAGTAAAAAAAAAAAGAAAAGAAGAGAGAGAAAGAGAGAGAGGAAGAGAGAGAGGGAGAGAAAAGTCGAGAATGGAAATGGGAAATATTTTGAGTTGCTTTTTTTATAATAGCATGTCAAATTTTTAATTTAATTCAAAGAAATTTTTTGAGTCGTTTATCATTTAAATTAAAAAGAAGCTTGTTTTTCTCTTGGAAAAAGGAGAGCAAATTATTTTAACAAAAATATTGAATTTCCTATTGACAATTTTCATCTAAATCATTCTCGACTTTCTATTTTATCAGTACTTGTTACAAATTCTTATTTATTTGTTTGTTTATTTATTTGTTTATTTTTTTTTTAATATGGTGCAAAATTTGCTGTTTCCAAATTGTTGCTTTCAGAAAAAAATCTAATAATTTATGAACTATGAAGGCCTATGCAGGGATCATTTTGATCCGTCATTTTCGTTTCTTTTTTTACCTTATTTTCCTCTTTCTTTTTTGATTTTAAGGCGATAGAGTAGGACTTGATGAAAATTTATTTTTTTCTAAATTTATGAGGAAGAGAAAGAAAGGAAGAGACATTCATTGTCAATCCAGTTATTGCTAGGAATTTGATCGATAATTAGTTAAAATGAAATTTTAAAAAATATTTTCGCTCTAGCATTATTTATATATTTGAAAACTTAAATTTCGTTTTCATTCTCATTCTATCTTTTTTTTTCAAAATTCAAATGTTTGAAATTTCTTACATTGACCAATTGTATAAAATATCAGAGTGGAATGCTATAAAAATGAAAAAAAAAAGAAAACTTCCAAAGATGAAAACAAAAAATTACGATAAGTTCTCATTGCTTTTTTTCTGTTTTTTCTTCTCCAAGGAATTTTACTGAAAATTTGATCAGTTTTTAGAATTTTTTTTTTTTTTTTTTGAACTTAAGTTAAAAACTGATAATTTTTGCTTTTATTGCTATTACGGATTCAATCACTTAACACCATTACTCATTTATTATCACTTTTATAAAGCCAAAAATATATTTTTAATGAAATATCATTTATTAATCACTAATACTGGTGATAAGGATGAAACCGATAATATAACAGTAAGAAGAAAGAAATGCAATAAAAGCAAGAAATAAATAAGAGATTGTGATAAAAAAACATAGTATTCAGAAATGGATAAGCTTTTTCTCTCTTTCTAGTTTCAGTATTTTTTGCTTGCAAACAGAAATATTAGTTTTATTTAATTTTTTAAAAATAAGAATTTTTTTAAAAATAGTTTTCTAAAAAATAAATGAAACTGATATTTCGATTTACGTATTATTTAATTTTCAAATAATTAATTACTTTGTGGGAAGCAGGAAATTTGGCAATTTTAAATTTTCAGCACCATTTACTTCATTTACCTGTAGTTATGTAATTACCTAGTGATTTTGAATGTTAATTAATAGTAATTATATGCTATCTAAAAATTAGTCATTAGGAAGAAAAAAAAGAAAATCCATTTTTTTTTGCCGTTGCATTCCATCACATCATGAAAGTATCATTTATCATCTGTCGTTGCATATTTTTTTCCTATTAATTAGTGCTAAAGTTTATTTAAAAGAAATATTAGTTTTTTTTTTTTTTTTTAAATTAATTAATTTCAAATTTTTTATACATATATGCTATATATGTAAATGCTATGCACTAATATGCTTTAGCTAAAACCATGGCTTTACTAATGCTTGATGAATAATTTTGAGCTTATCAGAAGAATATGTGAAACAGTCAGTTTTTCCTAGTTTATCAAAGTAAATTTTATAGGATATGAATCATTGATAACAATAATGAATCATCTGATATTTATTAGAAAAAAAAATGAATTAAAATAAAGCAATTCGGCAAATATTAACAGATTTCATGTCTTTAAATCACTTAATTTTATTAAAATTAAATCTCTTTAAATATTAGTAATATTTTCAATTTTAATTCATGACAAAAAAGATTTCTGAATTCATTAAAAATTATTTCCAAAGTTAAAAAAAGCTCACAAATATTATTTTGATATCATGATTGTGCCGATTGGCTTTAAATGCACTTTTTTTGTTCCTATGCTTTATTATTAATTTTTATTTTTGTTTATTCGTTTTTTTTTTTTTTTTGAGGTTTAATTGTTTTCACTATTTTTTCTTTTACAAACTCTCCATTTGAATTTTTACGCCAAAAAATAGCCGCTCTCTCACTGTCATTTGCTCCTGTTTTGTTATGATTTGCATAAGCATTCTTTTTTTTTTTCAGTTTTTTGAATAAGAAATAAATAATAAATAAATAAATGAATAAGCAAGCACACATCAATTTTTCAAATTACTTCTACTTTCTCTTTTTTTTTTTCATTTTTCGTTTTCTATTTCACATTTCATTACCATTTTACAATGAAATCACTTTTTTTTTCCTTTTTTTTGGATTAAGGCAACAAAAAAGGGAAACAATCATTCATTGCAACTTTTGCTAATTTGGCGAAGTTATACACAAAAATAGAATTTTATAATAGTTATATATATTGCAATTAATGAAATCGAACCATTCTTCTTAGATAATGCAAAATAATATTTCCGAATTTCGCGATTTTTTTTATTTGTCACAAAAAAAAGCGATCAAATTTCATTTTTTCATTTGAAATCTTTGAAGTTTCTTCTCTTTTGGAATTTGAAAAAAATAACCTTTAAAAATGGTCAAATTATTTATTAAATTTATTCATTATTTGTTTCATTTTTTCCTCTTTCTTTTTTGCTATTATTTTTATCTCCTTTCCATGTACTGCTCATAAATACAGTATTCACAATATGACCGTAAAACATTGTCACTTTTATCAAAGATATTTTCATTGGAAGTTTACGGTATTCGAATAATTCTAAATTTGAAACAAAAAATGAAAATAAAAAATAAAATTTCATGCATAATAGATGATTCTTTTTCAACCATTAAATAATATTATTAATATTTGTGGTACGTGTATGCGTGTATGTGATATATACGTGTGCGTGTCTGTTGTGTGTGTGTGTGTGTGTCTGTGTACGATTATCACATTACTTGTATCTCCGTTATTTCTCACCGTCTTTTATGAAACATATATTTATTGTACGTATGATGTATTACATTACTGTACTCTTTTCATTCTCCGTTTCTTCTATGTATTATTATTATTATTTTTTTGAATAATAATGATGAAATTAAAATTTGAATTGCGTTTCTTTTGCATCTAATCATGTTGTAGACAACATTCAACAATAAAAAGATATATGAAAAAGTTTTTCCTTCTCCTTAATAAAATTAATATTAAATAAATAAATGAATATCTGTCAAACATTAACAAATTCAATTCTCTACATAAATAACAATTAAAATGTTAAATATCGGACATACTGAATTCGAATAATTTTTTTACTCCTACATAAGAAAGAGCAACCGGAAATTTTTAAACTAATTTCATATTACATTAATTGCTAAATAAGCCTTAGTTAAGACTGCTAGATCAATTTACCCTTACGAAACCCAATTAATAATAAATCATTATCTTAAAAACTTACCATTGTCAAATTATGCACTAAATATTATACAGCTTAGTTATATCCAAATAAAATAAGCCTGTGAGATGTGAAAATTGTTTTATATTATACTTTAATTAGATGATTTAACTGACATTTGACTTGTGATATAATAAATGATAACAATATAATATGAAGTTAGACTGATTCCATGCAATACACATATAACATAATATTTTTAATAAGCATAAACATATAAATCTTTGCAATTTTAACAAATTATTTTGAATTGGCTTGGATCATTTACAAGCCGGAAATGATCCAATTAAATTACATTAGCAATTAGATTCATTTATATCACATAAATGCAACCAAAGGTATTTTGGAAATAGAAAGTTTATTAATGAAAAATAAATAATAAAACATTATTAGATGAAATAATAATAAATTACTCACCGAATGAATTGTGAAAAGAAATGAAAAGGATATTTTTGAAAGATATAATTATAATGAAAGTTGACGATTTTATCAATTTAATTTGATAATGGTATGTCAGGGAAAGTATTGATAAGGATGACTGTAGACATATTAATGCAATTATGATTCCAAACATGTAATTATTTATCAAATTATCAATTCCAATCTCTCCATTTCATGATTTATCAAATGTTCTTCAATTCACCAAATCATTCTACACATTGTGCTTCAGTTTATTTGATGAAAAATTGATCAGCTAAATTATTGTGCAAATAAATAGTTATTAATTTCTTCTTGTTTAAAATTGAATATTCTCATACAATGCGCTAACACCATATGCGCCAATATGCGCGTCTTATGATTTTATAAACACTATTGAAAAGGAAAAGAATTGGCATACTTACTGGAATCGATTACTTTTTCATTCAATTTTACAAAATTCAAATTCCACATTTAAAAGTTATTATTTTCACTTCATATACACCTGTAATAACAGAAAATAGATAAACAAATAACATTCGTTTTAAGAAACTTTGTGAGTATTTAAGTCAACGTAGAAATATTATTTAATATCTCTTTCAGTTACAAAATAATATTGTAATAATTGATTTTATTAAGATAAATGTCAATTTCATCACACATAAAAATGTTAAAAAAATACATTAATACAAAAAAATGAAAAAGGCAATTTCATCACCAAATGAGCAAATTATAGTTATCAAATTTCTTTTCCACAACACCGCTAGTAAAATAAAAAAGTAAATAAGCGGAATTGGTGGAATCAAAGTAAACAATAAGTAGCAAAGTGAAATAAATAAAAACAAAACAAAAAAAATCATTGTTTACATTTTGGACAGAGATATTGGTGCTAAATTGAGGATATTAGTACTGATATTATATAGAATGTGAATCAGATTCGGAATTTATAAAATGAAACAATTTTCATACATTGGATTTCATTCTTTTTTTCTTCGCGTAAGCTAAAATTCCCACTTATAAGTTGAAAAATTGAAAAAAAAAAAAACTTTTGGAATTTAAAACTATCCGTCTTTTAGAGCAGAGAAAAAATTCAGGTAAAATTAATGCATTGATAGCTCTTTCTTGTCAAGTTTAAACTATATTTTGGGATAATTTTAACGTACAATAAATAAATGTTAATACTTTAATTAGAACGAAAAAACAACGATAAATTAATTGTCACCAAGATCATTAGCTAAATAAATAATGATACTGAAGTATGGCAAAGCCTAAACGAGGATTATTTGGCACAAAGGGAAATAAACAATAATTTCTCGACATATTGATTTGCTTTTAGCAATATACCAACAACATTTATTTGTAACAATGAAATACTAATAAATTTGTATTTCGTATGAAATAATTTAACAGTGTAATCCATTTTGTGCCAACAACCCGGAAATCCAGAAAACTTGTTCATAGTAACCTGAGAATACGATGAAAAAAGAAAAATTGATAATATTGACAGAATTACAAAAATTGAGTTGTTTTGAAATGAAAATTAGCAAATAATTTGCATACAAATAAATATGGCATTTATTTATTTCTTTTACTGTTTGAAAAAGTAAAATAAAGTGTGGGAATTTTCTATGAAAAGCAAAAAATAAACGAAAATTGCAAAATAAACACAAAAAAAGGAAAACGAAGTAATTGCACTTCACAGTTTTATTGATTCAATCAGTTTATTTTCATTAAATCTAACAAAATCTTTTTTCACTAAATTCATTTAAAAAGATAATTTTATTTCAAATATATATATAATCAAAAGAAAATATTGCTATTTTTTCTGTTGCAAAAAATTTTAATTTTTAACGAATTTATTTTGAAAATAGAAATTGCAGGTTGTTTTATTTTATCGATGGAATTGTATCCATCAAGTATTTATCGGCTTGCATATTATAGTTTACAATGATGTCTAAATATTAATGAAGTAATTATTAATTCCTTTGATGTTTGGAATAATTGTTTCTCATCCTGTTCTACCTAGAAATTCAGTTTGAAAAAAATAAATACTAATTATATAAAATAGAAATAAAAAAGAACAAAACAGATGCATGTGTCATGATAATTGTTAACATAACTGATGTATGTAATCATTTTTAATGTTAAATTTTTTATTTGTAAAAATTTTAAAATCTTTTATCACGACTATAGCGTGGTGGTTGTGTCCGATAAGCAGGCGTTGAATAGTACATTATCTGTTGAGGAGTAGAAGGTGGAGAAGTTGACACAACAACACCGGTAGTTTGACGTAAATTACCATCGATCAAGTATTGCTTCCAGTTAGAACGCAATTCTATAGCTGAGTCTCGTTCCTATATTTAACTGTTGATTAGTTGGTTGACTGATTGCATCATTTAAATTATAACTTATTAGAAATTTTCATTTCATTAAATATTTCCAAAAAAAAAAAAATCATCCTTTCAAATACTTATTGAAGAAATAGAAAATATGGCAATGGCTTAAAACTTTTACTTAAAAAATTTTATTCTTGTTTATTTTTTTTCATAAAAAATCAATTAATTTAAAATTTAACCAACCAAAGATCGTTCATCACGTAAAATATGTCGTGAGGTAGATGAATGAGACTGTCGCCTTTCTGGTTTTCGTCCATCATGACGTCGCGATTGAATTGGTGAATGTGATTCATGTAAATTTGAAGACTGGAATTTCATTAAACTACAATATTTTCAATAATAGAGAAAAAAGGAAATTAGAAAATTTTCTAAAAAAGATTTGTGATAAATTATAAAATTAAAAGTAGTAATTAAGAGACAGTTAAATCCTTTAACATCATAAAATGATAATTTAATGCAGTAACCAATGATGGCGGTTCCTCATAGATTGATTCATCATTTTGTGAATGATCCTCGGCTGTCTTTCGTCGTCGTTCTCGTCGTTCTCGTCGAGGTGTTTGTCGATTAGATACAGCTATTCGTGGTGATGATGGTAAGCTGAGAGATTGCTGTAGGAAAAAAGTATCAATGTTGAAATTTTGCAAAATAATCTTCACAAAATAGTTATTTAACGTATGAATTTTTTTAAAGCATTATTTACCAACCATTATTAATCAATTTATTTCATTTAATCTATCTCAGAATTGAAATAAGATTGTCAAATCAAAACTGCTAAAAAAAAAAAAAAAATTGACTTCACTATTTTCACGACGATGACTTTTAGTTGATCGATAATTTCCAATACTAACAACTGGATTCGGCTGATAGGGAAGTACATCAGGAATCAAAGCTGGAGCAACCGTAGCAGTTACCGGTAAATAACCTGCTGTTTTAGGTGGTAGCAACATGCCACGTGTAGTTGATGGCACTGTTAACGCATATGAATACTGTCTAAAAGATTTTTCATCAAGTATTATGCAAATTTTTGAAAGATGGTTATTTAATTCTCAAATTCTCGAAATTAGAATATCAGTATAATGAATTGTTTATTTTCTAGCTAATTAAAGTCAACAGATTCTTTTTTTTTTTTTTTGTAATCAGAGAAATATACATAATCGATACTAATATACAATGCATTAGTTTCATTGTACCATCATTAATTAGTATCAAACACTATCATTTCATAAACTTAAGCTGCTTTAAGTTTAAACTGCAGATTAGTCTTTGGAGCAAATCATTTCAGATGAATTTTTTTTTGTTGTTTGAATAAATTGATTAAATCTGATAATCAATGGAAAAGGTCAAACTTTGTTAAGCCGTTAAGTTGTGAAGTAGTGCGACCTCCGGTTGGTATATAGTAAATGCTACCGGAATCCTCTTCAATATCAAAACAGTAGCAGCAACATTCATCGCAAATATCCTGCAGCGATGAGCAAAATGATGGAATTTGCTCGGTGAGAAATATCATCATGCTGTAATAATAGAAATATGAATCGTAAATTTCATAAATAAAATTTAAAATACACAATAAAATTTCTGTTTCAAATTATTCTAGGTTAATTATCAATTAATTTTAGTTTTAATGTTATGAAATATAACATTAAAAGAGAAACAATTATATTTCACTAAATGAAAATCAGATTATTCATTCATTGTGATAAAAAATTGTTTGCAAGTTAATGAATAAATGCAAAATCAAACTTAAACTTCATTTCAGCTGATCCTAAAATTATCACCAATATTTCATACAATTAAATACAATTAAAAAGTTGACAATTAACAAAGACCAATGATATTATATTATTATTGGTATTGCATTTATTTTTCTTTCTTGAAAGAAATAATGATATATATTATAGGTGTTATATTTATTTATCATCACCATTATCATTATCAACTCCTATTAATAATTTTATCAATTATCAGTACTTACTTGGGTAAGAAAAAAAACAAATGAATATAGGTAATAAATGAAGTAAGTATTAATATCTTGAAGACATGCATCATCACAGGTAAACCAGATAATAGCAATGGCAAATATGTTACAATTGGTACAAAACATGCCAAAGTTATTGGTAGTAAACATGACTGAAAATTTTCTTTCGTTATCAATGAAAAGCTTTTTTTCCTAAAAACTTCAACGATTTATATTTTATAATTGTTTCAAGCGAAAATCAAATTTATTTTTAAAAGAAATAAGAATCTAATAATAACAATGAAGAGAAAAAGAGGAGATAACAGCGTTGAAAATTATCATTCAAACCTGGAAAGAATACCGTACTCGTTGTTCACCAGTTTTTTGCCTTTTCCCAGCAGTTGCAAAATTGTAACAGAAATAGGAAACAATTGCAGTTGTTAAAGCATTTCCTAAATTTTTACTTCTAATCAGTTACTATTGATTAGGTAATATTGATTGATTAGGCAGGTAATAAAATGATAAGAATAAAAATATGATGAGAAATGATAAGAATATGATAATGCACTGATAATAAAAGTGGAGAAGTATAAAATTTCAAAAAGATCATATTAATTCAGTAATTTGAAATCAACAATTAGTCAGTCGTTTTCATTTTAACACTTAATATATAAATTTAAAAAAAAGAAAACGATTTGAATTATTTCAATTACTTCACACATTTAATTATTAATTTAAAATTTGGTTTCATCGAAAATTAAATAGAAAAATTAAGAAACCAGCCAAAGCCATAAATAAAGTGATGGCATTAATAGGAATTAACCAATACGTTGCAAAACCAATAACACCAGCAATGACTGATAGATTAGATAATAACACCAGCACAGTTAGTGATGGTATCCCAAAGAGGAATAGTGATAAAGTGCAAACACAGCAAAGAAGTAAGGTGAATGCTATGATTACTGTTGACATCACCTAAAATAGTCATTGAATTCAATCCTAAATCAAATGTGTCCATCCTCTGGTGCAATGGTACTACCGTTTTTAATCACTTATCATTTGATATTATTGCTCTTAATTATCCATCTATCACTTGGTACCGCGATATTGTTAATCTTTATCCGTATACTCTCCTTTAGTTATCATGGTACTACTGCTAATTATCCATCAGCCTTTTGGTACAACTGATAAAACATCTCTTTGTCCATCTATCGTCCATTACTGTTGTTATCGCTGTTTGACAGTTCACGTTTTTCTTATCATTTAGCCATTTCTGTCTTTCTTATAATTAATTCTTGTTCAGTATGTTTAAAAGTTTGTTCTTTGAAATGTGGTAGAATAGATATAAATTATCTTTTACTTATCTTTCGATATCATTTTACTATTATTAGCTGTTATTACTGTACTACTATTTAGCACATGCATATACCATAATATAAGCAGGCAAATATTAATATATATTACTACAAATAGAAAATTCATCCTTAAAATCATAGAATTTGCATTTAAATGAAATTGTTATTTACCTGTAAATCATGCTGTATAGCAAAGATAAATGGTGTCTTCACAAACATTGATATACCTGCTGAACGAGCCTTATTCAATAATTCATCAATAACAAATAATCTAAAATTAATTAGTACTGCATTATTATCATAACAAAACTATTTCCTTTTAAATAATTTTAGAAGGAAAAAAAAAATCGAAAGAATGTTACAATTTTCAACTAACCGTTCTCGAACACCTTTTGCTGTTAATTCAATATACATCCGTGAACCAATAATACGTGTTTGAAATTTGTCAAAAATTATGTCATTTCGATATTTTTTATAATTTTCAGCAGTCAAAAAGACAATACCAATAATTGGCACAAATGTATCCTTAAATTGTTTATAAAGTAAAGCTGTTTGATTGCTTGAAAAGAAAAGGAAAAAACAAATATAATTTAAAAAAGTAAAATTTGAGTTAATTGTGATGTATTTTTATAAAAGTTATTGCTGCTCATATCTATCTAGTAAATTAATGATTTAAGATTGAAATGGAGAAATTGCTGTACTCAAATTTGAAATATTTGAGAAAAGATGAAACTAAATATGGGTTATCTTAGCAATTTAAATTGCACATATTATTGAGATTAAACAGTCGTAATTTGTTATTACATAAGGTTTTAGGAAAAAAGGTTGAAATTTAGGTTTCGTTTGGAAGAAAAACTTATTTAATTTAAAAAAACTTTAAAAGATGTAGAAATTGGTTTTGCAGATACTTAAATGTTTATTTTGGGCTTTCTTTAATTTGAATTTTAAGAAACAAACGATTGGTAAGTAAATTATAAAATGCCTAAAATTACTCGACTTAATTAAATAAGAATGAAATAAGTTTAATAATTTACTGGATTTATGTCGTAAATAGTTGTACTTTCGAATCGTACAAAATCTTTCAACCAACTCACTGATCTTGTTGCCAGCTGATTTTGCTGGAATAATAAAAAAAAAAAAAAATAATAATTACAAGATATTCCGAACAGTAATAATAATAATAGACTAGAAGGAGATATATCAAAAATCTAGAAAGTAGGAAAATGATTTGTATCTTTGGAAATAACTATATGTAAATAATTAAAGCCTGGAAGCAAGTTTATTAATTGCTACTCCATTTATTGAAATAATAATTATCCAACAATATATGCATAAAAATTAGAAAAATAATAAAGTTGAGATAAAATTTGAAAAAAAATTTTTTTTTTCCATTCTAAAATTAAAATAACTTACAATAGGCCATTCTAGTATTGCCAGAATTTCATCCTTTCGATGTGGATCAAGATAATCGATCGGTTCATCAAATACCAATTCAAGAAAATCTTCATATTGTCCAAATTCGATACGATAATTTTCAATAAATGTTCGTGATTCACTCTCTTTTGACAGGAAATATTCTTCCTTCAGATCTATTCTTAAATTAACAAATAAAATTTTCCTTCTTTATTTCTAATAATTAATTAATTGGTTAATATTTTACCTTACATTATTGATAATATCATTTATTAATCATGACAAATTTTGATAAGAATTTTAAGGTAAACTTTCTAGTTAATTAGTTTTTTTCTCTTTTTTATTTATTTTGCCATACCGAACATCCTTGCATCCCCAAAAAGCAAGCACCAAATAGATTGCAAAAATGAATGCAACCGGACAACGAAGATATGAATTAGCCATTGCCGCCGCGGTGGCTCTCGAAAATGAAGGCTTAGTATCAATAAGCTTTTCATGAAGCATTTCAATGCTTGAATCGCTGAATTCGTTGATTGTTCTGGCTGCAACAGCAATAGTTTAAATTAAGTTTCAACTCATTTTTTTTTCTTTCATTTTTAACATAATTTCATTAATTTCATCACAGAGTAATCAATTATTGTATGCGACATGAATGAATTAAATAGTTTATAAGAGAAAAATCACTTTCATAATTTTTCATATTTTTTTAATTCCACTTTTTTAATTAAATTTAAGTTTAATAAGAAAATAAATGAACGTCTTATTTTCAAATTTTAGCAATTTATATTTTTTTTCTATTTCAGTTTCATTTTTTTCGCTTTTTGCTTATTTCTCTTATTCACAAATTATCTTATCAAAAATGCACTAAATAATAAACTAAATAATGGAAGTATTAATTTCAGTTTTTTTTTTGTGTTCAAAATATTTAATTGATTATATAGCATAGGGCAATAATTCTTTATTAATTATAATAGGTAATTATAATTAGCATATATATAGTAATAATAATAATGCAGTTAAGGTCAAACAAAAGGGAAAAAATTGGCAGTTTTTTATTCTTTGTTTAATTTCATACTTTTTAAATATTTCAAAAAAAAAAAAAAAACATTGATTATTTCATTTTTTGTTTCGTTCAAAATAACAACTTACGAGCGAAATGTGTATCACCGGAACGAAAGCACTGATACCATTTGACCCCTTTAGTCTCACGACGACCCGCAACGTACAGGAATACCGAGAAGAATAGAAGAGCGAAGATGAGCAAGACAGCGACACCAGCTGCTAACACAAACGACATATATTGCAAGTAAGGACTTTTCGTCGTTGAACCAATTACTGCTAAAATAATTGGATTATTAATTAATGAAAATTTATTAATTGTATGTTACAAAAAGCAATTTTAGATTAATAATTATATTATTAGTGATTTTTCAATAGTTTCAGTTTTCCTATTATCACTTTATCATTTGGGAATCATCATTTCATATTCATTAATTAATTCATCCATTCATTTTCTTATCAGTAGAGCAAATAGTTAAAATATTTTAGATATTCTAAGAAATAATAAGCAAAATACTTTTACTTTTTAAATTAAATGCTAATTTGTTAAAACAAAAGAATTTGTACCAATATTCTTTCTTTTATTTAGTTAAATGATCATTAAGCTACAATTATAACTTTAATCGATAATTTAAAATTTACTCACTGACATCCTCAAAATTTATTTTTAAGATGATAACATTGTCAATATCATGACAAGGTAAGATAAGGTAAGTATTTACCAAAAGAAACGATAATGATAAATGAAGTGATTGTAGTACATGGTGCATCCCAGCTTAGGATTAGTGATAATTTTTCCACTGGATCACATGCAACGTTTGAATATTTCGACCACGTATCTTCTAACGTGAAAAGCATTAATACTCCAATACCTGAATTTTCATCATTAGTATTCCAACATCTGAAATTTCATACTTTTCTTATTAAAATTATATCTTTTATTCATTTTGACAACATTTTTTTTAGGAAAATTAAATAATAATAATAAACAAAGTAATTAGAATATTGTTTTTACATATCACAGATAATATAATAACTGCTACTTCTGTTGCTGTCATTGTTATAGCATTAATTTTCTAATAAAGTTTAACCTTTAATCCGTCTGAACAATTCGATGCTTTAATTACTGATTAATAATATGAATGTTACTTTCCTAAACTTTTTATTAATTTCTCTTTTATTTTATTAAATGAAAAATGTTTATTCAAGTAAGCAAGCACAAGTATCGAAAGATTTCAAATAATACCGATAAGGATAAAGAAGATTGGGAAAACGATCGCATTAACATATCCTACTCCGGTCAGTTGAACAAAAAAACCGGCTAGACAAGAAACAATTAAAATAACACCAATAACTAATCCCAGAACCGGTTTACTCTGCAATAAGACCGGATCAACTAGTGATATGAACAAAAAAGAAAAAATAATTTATTTTACTGCTATAAAATTATGACCTCCTTGCAAAAGAAAAAAAAGAAAATTTAAACCATCATTTGATTGTTTTATGAAATACAGATAATTAATTTATTAAATTTTTTTTATTTATAAAAAATTTTTAAAATCAACACCTAAAGTTGTTGATGAATTTGGAAAAAAAAAGAACTTAATTATCATTTTATTTTTAAAAACCGAGAAATAAAAAAAGGCAAAAATCAAAATTTACAAATGGCATATAATAAATATTTTCGGTTTTATTTTTGCTTTTTTTCGCAAGAAATGTTTTATATCGTTTTAACAAAATTTAAAAGAAAAATTATTCAAAAAAAAAATTGGAAATTAGAAAAAAAAGAAATAAATGACAATTAGACGAAATTAAAAGGATTAATTATGAGAAATAATTAAATGAAATTAACACTTGCAACATGCAAATATATATACCAAAACTTTTTACACTATTAAACGAAATATGCAAAGTGATAAATATGATAGCAATATGTGTTTTTGTTTAAATAAAATTAATTATGTTTGTTTGTTTTTTCTTTTCTATCACAAATTAATTTCAATATTTATTAAAAGACAAACAAAAAATATGTAAGCAAGAAAAGAAATAAAAAAAGTATTATTATTTTTTGTTTTTGTTATAATAAATCATTTAGCGCTAAGTAATATAAACAAAATAAAATTGACAAGGGGACAAAATTAAAACGGAAATAACTGTAAATCATAATTATTTCGTTCATTTTATTCTTTGTTTATTTTTTTTTTTTTTTCTATTTTGGAAGGATATTATTTTCAAATATCGATTACCTGATAGCCATTTGCGCCAAAACTCGCAATCAAACATGTAAGCATAAGAAGAGCTGCAGATGCAATTAGCAAGTAATGCATTGTTTCTAATCCAGCAATCACTTCATTAACAAATTGATGATATGACCACCAATTAATATCAGCATCTAATGTCTTCTTTATTTCTTCTCGTTTCTCATTCATCTGCAATGATTGCTTTTTTTTAGTTTCTATTTATTGACGAAAATCTTAAAGGGTTAAGTCAAATAGGCCTTTCTCCTCTATGTTTATTTCATTTTTTTTCGTTTTGTTTTGTTTTGTTTTTTTTTTGTTATTTGTTGCATTAACTTAATTTTACATTTTAAAGCTTCTCATCTTCTTCTTCCTAATGATATAATCAAAATTTGATTGAAAATTAAAAAAATAATTTTAAGTTGTATATCAAGATATTTCTGTTCGTGAAATATCAATGTTATAAAAAAAATTTTTGATTAAAAATTACCAATTTATAAATTATGTTTTAAAATAAGAAAGAAAAAATTAGTGTTAGGGGTATGTGTGTGTGTGTGTGCGTCAGTATTATCCTCATTGTTATCAGAAAATCATGGAACACGTTAAATATAGCGTACGTGTTACAGAAGAACGTCAAATATATTATCATATCTATTTCTTTCTTCTCGAACAACTGTAATGTTATCAACTCAATTAATCAAATAAGTTATGGTCGATCAATATAGCTTTTTCAATTAATTTAGAGCTTTCAATTTAACAAATTCTTGCTATATTCGCGCCATTTTTTTTTCCTACAAAAGTTACTTTTACTTAATTTTCTGAACAAAACCATAAATGATTACTCTTAAAATAAATGTGAAGAAAATTCTATAACCTTTCTGATAAATTGTTTTGAAAATTCATTCAAAATTTCAGAACGAAAGTTTTCTTTAAGTTTAAAATTTGTCCTTAATGATCGTGCATATGTGACAACACCATCTGTATCTGTTTCCACACCTGTAACCACATGATATAATAATAAATGTGATAAGGAAAGAAGAGAAGATAGAATTTTGTACTGAAAATCAAACTAACTTTTGTATAGATAGGTAAATTTAGGTTAAAGTTGAAAGTTTCTATTTAATATCACAATGTGAGAAAAGAATGAAATAACTGAAATTATGCAAATCAAACAGAAATCGTATTTATAGTTAATACTTGCATACATCAAAATTGTTTTGTTTTGTTCAATTTCTTTTATTATTTCTTTAAGAGAAATTTAAAAGTTCCAAATTTTAGTAATTTTGCTAATGTTTTGCTAATGGCTAAAAAATATTTACTGTTTAAAAATTAAAAACAATATAATGTGTGCTTACCACCAATGGTCAGTCCAACAAATAAACGTGTTAAATTTCCGGTATTTTTGAGTGAAATAATTGTTTCTGGATAAGTAAGTGTAGTTTTAGGATCACTTTCCAGAATTTGCTGTATAGGATCATCTTTTCCAGTACATGCATCATGACACATTTCCGGCCACTGAATGATAATAAATGGATAAATGAAGATGAATGAAACTACAAAAATCTGTTCATTAATAAATTTGCTTTTTTGGTATTTATTCAGAAACTTTAAGTTTCATATACATTTTTTTGTCATTGAAAAAGTAATAAATAATTTCGTTATATAAGATTTACATTATATAATTTGCACATTTATTAATGAGAATAAAAGGTCTTAAAGTGCACAGATCAAATAGTTCGAATGTCTAGATCAAGTCCGAATGTCTGGATCATGTAGTCTGCATTACTGATAATTAACAACTGGTAAATCAAATAGAGTAATGTTATCATAGATGAAGTATTACATAAAGCAGATATTACATGGTATTAAGTGTCTAACATTTGTATTATTGCATATAATAACTTATAAAAATAATTATTATAATGCTAAACTGATTCGAGAAATAAAATTAACAAATTTGTCATTTAAAACTTTTTCAACATAGGTTAAACAATAAATATTATTTCAATAAATATGTAATAATATGCTCTAGGAATTTGCTCTTCAATTACAATTTTTAAAATTGCAATATTTTCAATCAAATTTTCGATTCTTTTTTAAAAGTTTGTTCAAATTTTGTTTAACAAGAAAAAATTTTTAATATAACTTTAATATAACCGTTAGATTTATTCGTTCATAAGTGACAACAATTGATTTTACTGAATTACTTAATTTTCCGAATGTATTGATCGAATTTTCGCTAATAATCGAACTATAACCTCTGGAAAGCAATACTTTGAATAAACTGTCATATAAAATTAACAAAAAGAAAAAGTGGTATGAAAACGATAAGTAATAAAACAGATAAAATTTAAGGAAAAAAAATTTTTATTACAATTTTTACAAATTAAAGTGAAATGAAAATCATACAAATTTACTCAATCAGAAAAAAAAAAATATATATATATATATATAAAATCCTTACTTTGAACGCATAATTATAGCAAATTCAGCTGGTGAATTACGTCTTATAGCGTTATACGCTTGATTAGAACCATTAAATGACAGCATTCCACGTGTTGCAACACGTAAGTTGTTATGGCCGGATGCCGGATAATGATCATTGAAACAGGAAACAAACGTTTCAAAGGGTAATGAAAGATTTAATCGTTCACGATGTACGATTGGCCCAATTAATGACAGCAATACAAATATGATTGGGAGACACTTAAAAAGAATCGTTTTTTATCTTTTTAATTTATTAAAGGATTGCAATTTTTATTAATTATAGAATTAATATTTTAAAGCTAAGGAATAACTGAAGGAAAAAGAGGAATAAAATGAATTTAATATAAATAATTTAAAAAAAAAAAAAAAAATAGTGAAAAGGTGATAAAATGAACACATACTACAAATAAGGCTTTTTTAATCGGTATCGATCGTCCAAAATACCAAAGTGCTCGACGTAGGCCAGCTTCAACAAATCGAAATGCATACATCTTATACACTGGTCTTTCTTCTAGAAAAGAAATAAAAAAATTCTTTCTTTTTATTTCAACTTAAAAAATTTTTCAATTATCAAATAAAACAAAAAAAAAAAATCTTTAATTGATAGTTATTACCTTTTTTCCCAGTTTCATTTTCAAAATACATTTAATAACAGCCAAATTAATAGGCCTATAATCTTTTGCCGATAGGTATATTCCACCTAGCTTACTAATAACAAACTGCATTATTTATCAAAAAGAAAACAAATTGACAACATAGAATTATTTAACTAATCAAAAATGATTAGAAAATTGCCCATAACATAGGTATACAAAATTTTATAAATTCTAAAAATATTCGAAATATTAAAGAGATTTAATATCTTTTCCTCCTCTTTCTTCTCTATCTCTATGTCATATCATATTTTCCCTTTTTCTCATTTCTAATTTCGCGGGTATTATATTTACCTTCTTGGTAAATATCAAAATAGAAAACAAAAAAGTGTTGAAATATATGGCCTTGAGAACAAAAAGAAAAAAAGGAAAAGAAAAAATAAATAAATAAGCAAAATAAATGCAAAAGTAAATTAAAACTGATACAGTAAAAATTAAAACCAACAATTCTGTTTTTTTTTTTTTTTTCAACAAATTTTCGGTTTCATTAAAACTCAAATTTATTACTGTGACCGAAAAATAAATGAAATTTGTTAGTAAAATGATGAATAATTTTTGCTTTCTTGTGATTTTCTGCTTTTTTTTCGTTAAATTATTTAAAAAACAAAAATTCCTTTTTTTTGATATTTTGAAATGGCATATTACTGAGTGACTATTTTGATTTATTTCATTTGTTTTAATTCGTCAATTTTTGTTTCTTTTTTTTTTTTGAAAAAAATTTTTGCCAATCATCAAATTCAATGATACGGTAAGAAGATGGATATTTTTTCTTTTTTATATGTAATCGAATATGGAAAAATAAACAAGTTTGAAAATTTTACAAAATAAAAATTTTATTAAATTTTTGTTTCCTTCTTTTTTCATGCAAAATGAAAAATTAATGTTAATAAGTTGGGGAAATAAAGGAATGAATAAAATGACAAAAGTGAATTATTTTTTTCTTCATTTATAAATGATTTATCCTAAATTGGAATGAAGAAAAAAAAAACTCTTTTCGTGGAAATAACTAATTGGGATAATAAATCATACCAAAGAAACAAAAATATATAAATTTATGGAAATGAGAAAAAATTGAAAATAAAAATTAATTACTGATGTAATTAAAGTAACAGTAAACATACAAACAACATATAATGAGAAACAAAACGAATTAAAATTGAAATTTACGATTTCTCTTAGCACTTAAGTAACTTCAAATTCGATATGAAGATAATTTCAAGGGAAGCAATTATAGTTATAGTAGAAATCTTTTAAATATTTAAATTGAAGCTTACTAGTTTTTGATCCAACTTTGACAGTATCACCATTTGCTTTAATTTTTTCTTTTTCTAATTGTGCTACTTGCAATTCATTTGTAATCCGTCGCACCAATGCTTTATCCGTGCTATTTTTCCGATTTAATGATGAAGACGATTCCGATTCCGGTTCCTATACAACAATTATTTTCATTGATATGAATTGTAAGATAAAATTTCATAAAAATACAAAAAAAAATGATTGAAATTTAAAATCATTTGCAACCAATGTAGTTAGGAATGATAGTAAAGTAATTTAAAGATATTGATAAAGAACGGTAGGAATAATAAAAAATTACAATGAATTATTACCATTAGTAAGTAAACACAGAAATTAAATTTTTTTTTTTTGGTTGAAATAAAGTGATTTCAAGAAAAAAAGGAGTTATTACAAAAAAAAAGTCCAGAAAGGTGTGGATTAGATAAATAGATATAATAATCCTTTTATACCAAATTTTTCTTTCTTTAAAAAAAAAGAAAAAAGAGGATAGAAAAAATTTTTTGATTGCAAAAAAAAAGCTGGAATTTTTCAAAACATTTAGATGATATTAAGAATTCAAATAACTACTATTAATAAATAATTTCTAACTTCTACTTTAATTAAAGAAAAGCAAATTTAAATTCATAAATAATTTAATGGACTTTCTGCGAAACAGAATAAATTCTGAGCAAAAAACAAGAAATAAAGTATATTTACAACTGAATTAGTACCTCAATGTAATTTTGTCTCTGTGATGTAAATGATGTGCCATCTCGATGATATGCTGGCGGCATGCAAATTTTTTCAAGTGATTTATAACCACCACACTCTCTTTTACTTCCCTTACTATTATCACTAGCACTTAACGTATCGTCAGCACCTGTGTCACCTTCCTGAAAAAATCATTACACATTTAATTGTTTCAAACTTGAAATCTCGAATTTTAAGGAAGAAATATAACTAAAAGTCATGATTTTAATGAAGTTATTACATTGCTAATTAATTGTTGTTATCACTAAGACTAAATTGTAATGAAATTAAAATTATCATAATCTCTTTAAAAAAAAAAAAACAGAGAAATGAGTATTAATAGAAATGTTTTACCATCAAATTAAAAAAAGATATAATTTCTGCTTTATTAAGAATGATCGGCGAAGAAAAAAGAATAAATGACCGAAATGGTTGTGACTTCATTAGGGGTCAATGCCGGCCAAATGTTAATGTATTACTGTCTTCAATGTATGTATGATGAAAAGTCACTATCAAATTCCACTCTATCAAAAAAGTCATTTCAAGAAAAAAGAAGTTATTGTAAAAAAAGAAATCACTAAAAAAAAAAAAAAAAAAAAAAATTCGAGAAAAAAAAACATTGTGAAAAAAAAAATGAAATAATAATATAAATTATTAGCATTTAATCACTTTATAAATAATATAAATGAATTAGATTGGTTTTTTCCTTCTGCAGATTTCATTTATTTAATTGCATTAAATACTTTTTTATTCCATTTAAATACATTAAATACTTTTTTATTTCTTTCTATTAAAAGCATATTTAAATAATTGAAATCATTTCCTTTTTTTCTTTCCCTCCTGTGATATAAATCATTCATTAAATACGTTGCGAAGTATTTCATAATTTACGTTCAATTTTTTTTTTAAATATAATAAAATTTTTTTTTTTAAACATGACAAAATTTATATTTATAATTCTTAGTACACTATCAAAATTTTACAATAACACTTTGACATTCATATTTTCATTTTTTAAACGTGATTTGAAGGTTTGGTTAATTCTAGGAATCTATGAAGAACAATAATAATTAATAGCTTATTACTACTGCTTATTATTATTGTTATATATTATTTATTATTATCATTATTAATATTATATATTACTGTTATTACTTTCCCAATGAATCAAAAAAGTGGAAAAGATTAAGTTTTGCTATGTTATTATTTGGCAGATAATGACAATATTTTTGAAATAATCAATTATTTAAGCATTTAATTGTATGAAATTAAGTTTGAAAAATTTTTATTAATGGTAAAAGCTGCATATTGAGTCGAGTCATTCAATTAAAACTACCCATGGAATCCCGAAACATCACAAGGTCATTATTATCATCTTCCCTCTGCCAATTACAAATTCATCAGCCAAACACACTTAAACGACAAATATCAAAATTGATATATCATTGACCTTAAAATTCATCAACAATTGACGCTGCAATTTTACAATTAATTCATTGTTACATTTCTATTACACACTAAATTTAAATTTTGTCCTTTTAATTTAAACAAAACAAAAGAAAAAAGAAGGAAAATTTGCGTAACACTTAATTATTGTAATAAACATTTTATGAATTAATTAATAAAAAATATATCACAGCAAAAAATTCATGAAATAAAGCCATATTTTCCTCTCAGTATTTCTTGTTAGCTTCGTCGCTGAACTTTTGATCTCAGCTTATTACTCCGAAATTTTCAAAAATGATAATCCCAAAGGAGAAGTATTAAAATTTAATCTTTTCTTTCGCTATAAAATTTTTATCTGAATAGATAAATTAATTGCTTAATTAGTTATTAATTAATCATTAATTAATGTATTAATTAATTGCAGGAAATAATAAGTATTCTTGAAAGCAAATAAATATAATTTCATCTGAAGAAAAAATAAGTTTCATCTAATTTCATAGCAGTAAAGAGTTCAAGCAAAATTCATTTAAGCCTTAATCGATCATAGTAATTATCATTTAAGAAAATAATATAAACACTGATGGCTTTATTATAACGTTTCATGAAATTTTTAAGCATCTCAAATTTATTCAGTTTTGTAGCAACGCACTTATCCCTAATTCTCGAGAAATTCTTCGACCTGTTACTTTCAGTGCATAGACATATTGGAAATTAAAATCGAATTCAAATTTCATTAGAGATAATCATTTCACATATTATTTTAAATAATCCATTTGATCAAATGATGAAATAATTGAAATGTTTTTTACTAATTGTACTAATTATTTAAATACTTGTAATTTGGTTTCATTTCTTTTCAAATTTCATTTTAATCATTTTTTTCTTTATCTTTTGAACCTTTTCTTATTATTTTTTCCTTTGTTTCCATCTTTATTCTTTTCTCTATTCTACTTCTCTTTTTCTCGGTAATTAGTTATTTTTTAATTTTGTTAATTTCTCGCCCTTTTTCCTCTCATTTCTGATTTTTTTTCCATTCCAAATCTTTGCAAAATTCATCCCAAAAGCAAAAAGTTTTTTTCTCTTTTCTTTTTTAAATTTTGAAGTAAAAAAGAGACAAAAGAAAATTTTTGTGTGATAAAAATTAAACTAAATGATTAAACAAAAAAGAGAAAACTTCAAAGATTAAAAAAATTTTGCAGATTAAAATTAGAATTTGTTAAAATTTCAATTAAAAAATGATATTAAAAGAAAAGACAAAAGAAAAGAGAAAGAGAGAGAGAAAAAGAAAACACTGAATCTTTTGTATTAATCTTTATTTAAAATCCCTTAAAACACAGTCATTTTTTAATCTCACAACTATATTTACTAACTTCTTACCCTCCCTTCCATTCCCAACTCAGCTTTCCCCGCATCTTCCCGCCCTTCATCTCTCAGTCTTCTTCATCTTACCCGAATAATCGGCGCCTCTTGAGTTTGGGAAATAATTCAGGTCATAAAAGTTTATTCAGTCATTTAATATCAGACTGATTAATAGTGTCCCGAATTCTCTCTGATCATAAAGATTTTCTATAATATATTTGTTATGATTTCTGATTAATAACATGTTTTGAAAGAAGTTTTTATAGCACAAAATTTAATATAAAAGTGAAAAGAGAAGAAAGAGACAGAAAAATTTTTGAAATATTTGAAATAATGATAATTTGTGACAATGATATGTTACAAACAATGATCAGAAACATTTTAAGTTAATAAAAAGCTGGCTTGATTGAGTAAATCAACAAATTTTTTGTTCTTCTTTTTTACTAAGTTTTATTATGGATTAAAATCATTAATTTGATAGCACCAAATTGTTAATAATATATTAATTAAATCTTATTTCTGAATTTTATTTCGCATTTTGTTTCATAGTTCTGCTTAGTATCGCTTTTTTTGAGTTATAGATTATTATAGATTATCATTAAAAGATTTATCATTAATAGATTATTATTAACAATTTATAGATCATCACTAGCAAATAAGTTTTATTATAAAATTTGTTACAATCTTTGAGAGAAATTCTGTCAAAAGGCGATTCTAATTTTCAAAAAACACTACATTTTATAATTTTCTATTGTTTGCTTACTTAAATTTTAACAAAAAAAAAACTCATTTTATAATTTATAAATTTCTATTTCTTATAAAAAATTTTTGTTTTCCTTCCTTTTGAATTATCCAAGAAATAAAATGAGATTTTGTCGCACATAATTGAAACTTACATATAATTATAATTTAATTCAATTCAGGGCAAAACTGTTTTAAAAAGATCAAAAAAAGTGATCCAATTCTTCAAAAAAAAGTTATTTAGTATTTAAAACTTTCTTGAATTTTCTAGAGGATTTTAGGAGTGGAAAAAAAGGAAGAGAAATATCTACATTTTAATTAAACAAATTATAATGTATACTATTTAATTCATTCATTTTTTTAAAAAAGTAACAATAATTGAAAAGATAAATGAATGATAATGATAGAGATGACTTCATACTTAATGCACGAATATTTGATAATTTTACAATCTAACTGATAAGTATTTTGCATAATTCTTAATTCATTTACCTTATTTATTAATTACTCGTAATCCACATGCTTAATTAAATAAGATATGAGATATTTTGACTATTCCGTTTATTTTATTGTTAGAAATATATCGTAAGAATAAGTAACACTAAAAATATCACATCGAACATATCAATTATCACTATTAAAATGTGTGGTAATCAAATATTATCCATAGCAAAATTTGATTATTCTTAGTCTTAGAGAATTTCTTAATAGCAATATCGAAAGAATCTATTATCCTAAACTAAATAAATGCAAAGAAATTAAATATTTATAAAATAATCAATCAGTTTTATCTCGCAGAACAATTATTCCCATCGAATAAACAGACTGTTATTGCATTAAAATGGAATCATACTTGCAATAATCAATCGATAATTAATTATTAAATATAATTTTAGTAAAAAAGTGATAGCATTCAAAATTAAGTAAAAACAGGAAAATTTTTGATTAATTTTGTTATAAAATAAAAATGATAGAACTAATATTAGTATTTTATGAACGTATCACATCGAACATATCAATTATTACTGACAAATATATGATAATATTACCCATAGCGAAATGATATAAAAATGACTAAAATAATAATTAATATATAGTGTTCAAAAAATCTTAGTGAGTAAACTAATGAATAATATTATAAAATATAAAATTACAGCTAAAAGTAGAAACGATGATCTTGAAAAAAACAAAAAATGGTGATGAATGAATAAATTAATAAATATATCATTTATAAATAAATATTTTTGTTTTCTTAAATTTCTCTAAACTTTCTATTACATCATTCAGTTTTTTTCCAAAAAAAAATGGCACAAATAAAAGTCAAATTTAATTAATAGTGGCGAAAAGTGTGGAATGTAAAAAAGAAAACTGAAAGTAAGCAAACGTTACGTGACGTGAAGTAGAAATGGTTGTTTCTTTTTTTTCATTATTTCCCTCAGCAGTAATTGACTTTTTCTCTTCCGTAGATGATAAACGATTTTTATTTCCAGTAATTATTTCATCCAATGGCATATTTTTTTGCAGTCTAAAATTCAACTGAAATGAAATTTCATTTTTATAGCAAAATGAAATAATTGTAGATGCATGCGAGAAAAAAGAAAACGAAAACTTAATATTATCAATGCAACATAAACAGTTTTACAAATACAATTTATCAAATTGAGTATTATCATTTCAATCTAACTGACAATTTTAAAATTAAACAATCAAAGTTATTTCATTTTTGAAACTAAAATTAGCATCAAAGTGTTAAACAGAATGCAAAATTCTTTTCATATGATAAGTGACTTATTTGAAGATTGAAATGATGGATTAATTCAATTTTTAACATTTTTCTATTTTTTTTTTTAATGAAGCTAATGCTTTCATTTCAATTAAAATTCATACGTTGTGGCGTGAAAAAATGAGAATTTTATTTTCAAAAAAACCTTTTTTAAGCGCCCAATCATTCTGACTTGTAAATATTAAAGGCCTAAAAACTAATATTGCGAAAAAGGCAATTTAGATAGTATTGAATTATTGAATTGATGTGAAAGAATGGAATTTATTGTTGTCAACAAATAACTTTCACAAGCAATTCTAATCAATTACTATAATAAATTCCTAAATTAACTTAGTTTTGAAGGAAAGAACGTTTTTTTCTCACGCTTTTTCTTTTTTTTTTTTTAAAAAAAATATAGAAAATAATTTTCTATGAAAATTAAATAAAGTATCAGCTTTTTAAAGGTATAATTAATTTCTTTTTCTCTCGTAAATTCTGAAAAACATTCAGAAATTAAAAAAAAAAGAAGTCATTTACAGCGAAACAAATATCTCAAAATGATTTATTAAAAAAAAAAAACAAAAAACAAAAGAAACGATAAAAAAGCTGAAAAATATAAGTAAAATATGAAGAAAAAAATAACTAACGAAAGATTTTTACTTTTCTGACATTGATAAGAATTCATTCTGATAAATAAATTGATTGGTTCCTAAATTAAAAATTTAAAATAAATCACCATTTAAAAATATACCAAAAAATACTCTACCATATATAATCATATCCAATAAAATATCAATAATTCCTGTTTCTGTAATTTAATGAAAATTAATAAAGTAAAAAGAGATAAAAAAGAAATAAAAATTTTTGTGAGAAAAATGGAATAATAAAAAAGGAAGCAAAAGAAAAAGAAAGAAAAATGGAAAAATTAAGAGAATAATATTTGATAATAAGTACTAAATTAGTAAATTATTAATTAATGTTAATTCTTTTATAATTAATTAAGACATAAAATGTGGAAATAGTATGCAAAATATAATTATTCGTTGACTGTATGATACGAATAATTTCCTCTCATTTTAATTGGGTCATTTTTATGTCAAAATTGTTGTGCAGTTCAGTTGAATGTAGTAAAACGGACAAAAGTAAATGAGAAATAGCAGCAAAATTAACAATGTCACACTATCAATTCTTTCTCTGTTATTCTCTTTCTATTATCAAATTCAAATATATTTATATGAGAGGGAGAGAGAGGGAAAGAGAGAGAGAGAAAGAAAGAAAGAGAAAATGATGGAGAAAGAAAAAAAGAAGGAAAAAAATTCGCATAAAATAAGTATAGCACATTTGATATTTGTATTTATATTCATTATCTATGTAAAATCACATTTCAATGAAAATGGCCTCACTGAAATGAATAAAATGATTCATTGACATATTAGCATTTTATAATGATTGTGTATAAGATTTGCTAATGATAATTTGGAATTAATTCATTGGTAAATATTTTAGTTTGAATGAAACTTCAAAAATCAATATATTGAGAAATTAAAAAAAAAAAATTCGTTGATAAGTTCAAAACTGATCTAAATTTTAATTCTTATTTTTGTAATCTCAAGGCTAATATGCCAATAATGTTAAAATTGATTCAATGAAAATTTTAAAAATGATTCGATTAGATAATCGCTATGAAATGATTTACTAATAAGTCATAAAATATTAATAAAAAGAGCGAGAAATAGAGGCAACGAGAATAGGAGATTTTGAGAATATTTTTGATATGGCAGATCAATCGTTCTTCAATGTTATCATTTGTTATAATAATAATATATCATTCTTCATTGTTGCAATTGTACAGATAAGCACTACTAACCCTATTACCTAGATAAGATAACATTAATAAAATAATTTATCATTTAATTCAAATCTATTAATAGCTCTAATTAATCCCAATGAATCAGTAAAAAAACGGACGAATCAAATAATTGAGATTATTCTTAAATTTATTAATCAAAAAAAAGTAAATTAATTAATTAAGGATTACTTTCTTTTTTGCAATCAGCTAACTGATATATTATTAATAAATTATAGGAACTGAAATGAATCTTTTACATTCAATACCTTAAGATTTCTTTCATTAAAAAAATTCACTTCTTTAAAACAAACAAGTATTTTTATTCCATTTTAAAGTTTGCAAAAAAAAAAAAAAAGAAAAGAAAGAGAGAGAGAAAGAGAAAACTGTTTTACTATTGATCAGATTTTTTTAATATTGATCTTATCTTTTTAATGCTAATTTTAACTCTGTTTTTTTCTAATTTATCTAAATATCTAAACTAATAAATTAAATACTGAAACATATTAAACTAACATATATATGAATATACTATCAGTAATCGAACATATAATGGACAGCATTTGAGTAATATAAAGTAAACCAAATAAATGACTTTATTTTTTTGTTTATTTTTTATATAACTTTATTGCATCAACTCATTCGTTATATTAATAATTCAAATCAACTACCATTGAACATATCAAGTTGTTGATGCTCAATTAAATGATTTTTTATTGCTCAGATTAAAAAATTTAATCCAGTTAATTTCGGCTGAATAATTAGGATTGATCGAAACTAATGTAATAAAAGATTTGATTAAAATTAAATCTTACTAAACTAATGAAAAATTTCATTGCCTCATTTCAGCATCAAATATTTCAATATGTAATAATAAGAAAGCAGTTTTTTTTTCGGATCGATATTTCAAGAGAAATATTTTTTATGTTTCCTTTAAAATATAATTTTTTTTTTTTTTGTCATTTTATTTGTATTTTGATTTATATGCACAAAATCCATGAAAACTAGGAAAATTGTTATCATTTAATGATATCTGATAATACAATCGATTTATTCTAATATAATTACTGATCATGCATATGTAGTAAAAGTGACTTGCATTCTTCGGCAATAAATGATTAACAGATTATTATATTAAGATAAGCAAAGTGTGATGCAGTGAATAATCACTTGCAGACATTAATATTATTATTTTTTTTTAAAATCTAGTTAAATATTTAGGGTATAATTATGTTGTTAAGCATTGCTTAAGTATTTAGCATTATTTGTTTTAATGAGATGTTATTGATAATTAGCGCTAATTAAGGAGTGCATTCCTTTTTACAGTAGCTGTTTTGTTTAATAATTATCAGTAGAAATTTCTTATAACCATTATATTAATAATAGAAATATTAATAAAAAATGATTTATTTCAGTTTTAAAAGTTGAAATATAATTCTTTTTTAATTTAATTTATATTATAAAATCATGAAAGTAAGAATGACTTCTGTACAGTTTATTTCAATTTTCTCTTTTTTTTCATTGAATTATTTTTTAATTAATATTTGTGTCATTTAAGTTAATTCTTCTTTCTTCAAATGTTTTTTAAAAGTATAACCAAAATAATCACACAAACCAATGTTTGAAATTCAATTCAAAATATCGATGGTATTACTTAAGAATTATTAAATTAAGAAACAAATAAATATGGAGATTTTCAATTGAAAAATTAAAAGAAAGTTTGAAAAAATTGGAGAAAAAAGTCGAAAAAGGAAGTGTGAAAGATAAGGATGCAATGATAAAGTGACAAAAAGACAAAAAAACACAAAAAAAAGTGACAGGATGAATAAGAAGGATGCAAGTAAAGAAACTAAGAATAATTTTAAAAAAGAAAAAAGGGAAGAAAAGGAATGAAAGGCTAAAACAGAAAAAGAATGATGGGTGGGTAAATCGGGATGTTCTTAATGGGAGAAAATGGGAGAAATCTTTTTAAAATCCCTTTGAATCGTTTTTTGCACCATTTTCATGTTTTTTTTTTTTCATTTTTAAAATATTTAAAATTACCTGGTTCGAGAAAAAAGAAATAATATTGGATGAAGGATCATGTTTTGGTAATCCGTAAAACCAGTTTTATCAATAATAAATGAAAGAAAATAATAATAATAATTATGATAAAAATAAGAATAATAACGGTGGTGATACTAATATTAATAGTAGCAATAATAATGGCAACAATAATAATAACAAATAATGATGGTAATAATAATGATAATAATCGCAATTTACAGTTGTATCTTCAGATTCATTGAAAGATGAATTTAATAAGCTTAAAGTTGCTAAGTATAAGGAGAAGCAATGGTAATAATTATAATAGTTCATGTAAGTGTTAAGTGTTAATAAAAAGTTTATTATAAATAAACAAAATGTCAGAGAATGAAAATTGAACGAAAAATATTAAATGACATATAAATAGTAAAAACATATTAAGTGAAAATTTTCTTTTTTTTTTTTGGAAATAAAAATTGTAATAAGGATGAAATAGAAGAACAATGATAGGTTTGGTAATATTGGTTGATAAATGATTAGTTAATCAATGTTTTAGATTATTTGGTGCAGTTTATTGGATTAGAATAATACTGGATATATTTTTTCGAAATTTTTTGTAGAAAAATATTTTTTAAAGAAAAGTTTTTTTTTAAAGTTTTTTTAAATCGATTTTAAACTTCAAAAAGAATTTTTTTTAATGTCATTCCACTACTGATATTAATCGTTTTATCAAATGTTTTCTTGAAGAACATTTTTGATAACACAGTAATTACTTCTGCACAATATTTGCACCATTAATGAATTACGGTATTTTTGAAAGCGATGAATTGTTTACAAGTTAAAGTAAGAAATTTAAAAAATTTTGAAGAATATGATGCT